CACGGGATCAGGCTGCCCCATGGGGTCAGGTTGGAGCCACGGGATCAAGTTGAAGCCACGGGATCAGGCTGCCCCGTGGGGTCAGGTTGGAGCCACGGGGTCAGGTTGGAGCCACGGGATCAGGCTGCCCCATGGGGTCAGGTTGCAGGGCACACGTGGAGGAGCTGCCTACGGAGCGGTGCCAGCTCCGATCCCTCCTTCCCGCTGCTCGGGGACAGTGCCCGCGAGGCGGCGGGCGCCCTGGGGCAGGGGCTGGACGGGATGATCCCGAGAGGTCCCTTCCAGCCCCAGCCATGCCGGGATCCCGGGGTCCCGCGGCACGAGGCCCCGCGGCCGCGCCGGGGCTGCTCCCATGTGCCGGGCCGGGCTCCCTGCTGCCCCGCCGAGCACCACGCGCCGTCAGCGCAGGGAGAGGGCCGCAGCCGAGCCCGCTGCAGCCGGGAGGAGGGCAGCAGGGCCAGGGTGGGCGCTGCGTCCCGCTGCACCCCGCCACGTCCCCGTGTGTCCTGCTGTGTGCCCACCGTGCCGTGTCCCCGCTGCACCCTGCCACGTCCCCGCGTGTCCTGCTGTGTCCCCGCTGTGTCCCCATGCATCACCCGCTGTGTGCCCACCGTGCCGTGTCCCCGCTGCACCCCGCCACGTCCCCGTGTGTCCTGCTGTGTGCCCACCGTGCCGTGTCCCCACTGCACCCCGCCACGTCCCCGTGTGTCCTGCTGTGTGCCCACCGTGCCGTGTCCCCGCTGCACCCCGCCACGTCCCCGCGTGTCCCCACTGTGTCCCTACATGTCCCCAGCCCCAGGGCTCTGCCACCCTTCACAGGGCACCCCAACCTGCCGCCTGCTTGGGGGTCCAGGCCGTGAGCAGCCCCCGGGGGCTGGGGAGCCCCCGAGGTGGGGGTGAGGGGCAGCCCTGGTGCGGGCTGGGGGCAGCCCCCGGGGTTGGGGAGCCCCGGGGGTGGGTTGGGGGCAGCCCCCGTGGTCAGCCCCCCGGTGCGGGTTGGGGGCAGCCCCCGGGGATGGGGAGCCCCGGTGCGGGCTGGGGGCAGCCCCCGCGGTTGGGGTGCCCCGGTGCGGGCTGGGGGCAGCCCCCGGGGTTGGGGAGCCCCAGTGCGGGTTGGGGGGCAGCCCCCGGGGTTGGGGAGCCCCAGGGGCGGGTTGGGGGCAGCCCCCGGGGTCGGGGAGCCCCGGTGCGGGCTGGGGGCAGCCCCCAGGGTCAGGCAGCCCCGGTGCGGGTTGGGGGCAGCCCCCCGGGGTTGGGGAGATCCGGTGCGGGCTGGGGGCAGCCCCCGCGGTTGGGGAGCCCCGGTGCGGGCTGGGGGCAGCCCCCGGGGCTGGGGAGCCCCGGTGCGGGCTGGGGGCAGCCCCCGCGGTTGGGGAGCCCCAGGGGCGGGCTGGGGGCAGTCCCCGGGGTTGGGGAGCCCCGGTGCGGGCTGGGGGCAGCCCCCGCGGTCGGGCAGCCCTGGTGCGGGTTGGGGGCAGTCCCCGCGGTTGGGGAGCCCCGGTGCGGGTTGGGGGCAGCCCCCGCGGTTGGGGAGCCCCGGTGCGGGTTGGGGGCAGCCCCCGCGGTTGGGGAGC